CATGTGTGCCGGTGACGATGTATTACGTAAGTGATTACAAATAAATGGTATAAAAATGGGTATTTTGTAGCAGTTTTGTTTAAAATAATTCAATTGTTTCGGGTATATATTTGTGCCAGTTGAAATATGACATTACAATGTGTTCAGACAAATAAAAACATGCCCGTCTTTTTATGATGTTGTAACATGATGGTGGTTATTCAAATGCACGCCAATATGTTAAACTGTTTGTTCTAGAGCAATTGTAATAACTGGTATTTGAAAAGCGCCGAACGTTTGAAGTAAAAGTACACAATCGGATAAAACTGTCGTGTTGTCTATCGACCATACAGACTGCGAACTCCAGTGTTTGTTTGAGCATTCCGTTACGTGCAATCGGTATTCTAATTATTTAACGAAATATATTGTTGAAGTAGCAGGTAACGTAGTCGTGAAACGTACTCCCAATCTCTTTCACATATGGTAGCAAAAGCTTTCCCATCCGCGTTTCTAATCGATTTTTGTGTCAACGCGTTGTTGTCTGTATATGAACAAAATGCACCGTGGTAGTATCGCAAATTTCGTCGCTGACACGAATATACGCCAAATTTGTACGCTTTATTTAATTCCAACTCTCACTGAATCCTTATTGCGAATGCTTTGTATTTTAATTTTGAAATCGTTGATTCCGTTTCCAGTGTATTGACCGGTGTGTTGCAACGTGTCCCACATAGCATGCATAGGCACACCGTAACGCCTCCATATAATACAGCTGTCGCAGTGTTACTCTAATAGAAAGCATTGTAATGTTCATAAAGAGAATATTAAAATAATGTAATATGCATTTAAAACATAAAGTTGACGTATTAACAGATGTTTTAGAGTGAGGGAGATACTCTGAAACCGCTCATTGGTTACAAGCCGGGGATGATCGCAGTTTGGGCCAAAATACCGTCAAATATCAAGTTTGTGGATGGTGCATATTAAGTGAGAGCATCCGGATGACGCTTATTTTTTTGTTAAATTGTATTTGTTGTGATCAGAAAAACTGAATATATTGAATACATATATATTCCACAATGGGCTGGTTTCGTCGAACACCGCGATTGTCGTTCAAATTCATATTTGCTACTTGCATCTCCATGACAATTTTACTAAATATGAGAATTGTGTTCAACTTTACGGAAAACGAATTTGGTCTTGATGAGCACCTCGAGGCGATCGGTAGACGGCGGGAGATGGCCGCGGAAACCAAGTTAGTCGTGCGATCTGATGAACACAATGAAGGGATTGATGTGAATGAAATAATTACGGTAGCTTTAATAGATATCAACAAGACAACCAAGGAGTCAGGTAAGTGACTTTTTCAATCTTTGTTTTTATTAAACTCCAGAAACACCAATCTTCTGTACTATAACTGTTCAAAACGTCAATTTTGTTTGTATTTTATCGGATAAATTGAATCGTGGTGTGTCGAACATACCATATTTGAAATGGTTTTCAGACTAATTATTCTGAACATACATTGTATATCTAGTTTTTGTATATGGATATGTAAGTAGTCGGGGTTCAAGGAACGTTCAAACGGATATGACGTCACAGATAACGTTGACCTCGCATAAAATACATTCTCTTAACTTTGTTCGACTTTGAAAACATTACATTCAGGCAATCAGATGGACATCAAAAAACTATCTAGTTTACAAATGTCCAACTTTACGAGACATACTTATCAGTCGCGTTATAATGTTGAGGGAAATGTACAAGCCCAATTATAGATGAAGAGAGTGACTGAAACGCGTTTATGCTTGTTTATACTTGTTTATTTCTCTTCCTGGAGATAATGACATGTTGGGGGTGCCTTGACTTGAATTTCGTTGTTATTGACTGTTAATAAACCATTTTATAATAGCTAAAACAGACCATCACTAAAAACACACCATCCGACAATCAGCATATATTTAACCAGTTTCGTTGTTATTGTCTGTGTTTATATATCATTTTATAATAATAGCTGGACTCCACTGAATAAAAGACTAACTTCACGAATTGTTGAATTTAATACATCGACTGGATCACCTTGTGGCGATTTGTTTGCGAAATTTGATACGAAGGTCAGCCAGACTTCGTATAATCGATGACGCCATAACAAGGAACATATGCCACCTGACGCTCATATTTACTATTAATATTTACTATTAATACTTACAATAATCGATTCGATAATTAATCCCCAAAAAAGTTTAACAAACCCGCACTAGGTTGTTCCACACCCGTTTAATTTTCCACTTGGAGATAACATACTCGACCTCGTAAATATAGGAAATTATTTAGTTAAAATATTTATTACAAATACCTGGAATAGGTAGGTAAACAGATTCGACCTGAAATATAGGACATTTTTTAGTTAAGATATTTGTTACGAATAAGCAAAGTACAATTCCAGCTATTTAATATGACTAATTTTGACTCAAATCTGTACTCGCATGACTACGTCTCGGAAATTTGTTTCGCTTTTCAGTGCGCGTGCGCGAGATATTCTGTTTAGGCTCGTTCGAAGTTCGTTCACGACACACACGGTCACCGGCTTATTACATCTGTCGACTACTGCAACAATGTACCTCAACTGCCAAGTCATTGCGTGATCGATATATACTGAATATTTATTTAGTGATTTTTAAAACACAGATCTTATAAAGTCTTTTCTTAGATCTATGTGTTATCACGACCAGCTGTGAACAGGGATGAACAAGTTAGTAAAATGACACATTCGATGACGTAGTCGGACAAAATACCAAGTGACACACCGGTGGAGGGCGCACCTTACGAGAATTCACTGATACGTTCATTCTGATAGTTTTTTGGTTTTTGTACATACAGGAAAGTGCACATTTCAAGGTGCATGGAAACACCCTAGTCGTGAACATGCGTATCTTGTGCATGGCATTATACTCATATTGATTTTATTTTTTGGTCGTCAGCTCGTCAACTTCAACAAAACGCGACGGTCATCACCGAACCAGTGTACACCACAGCGATGATCGGCGCTGCTGGGGAGATGGGCAAGCCGGTGTTTATAGCAGACAGTCAAAAGGAGAAAATGAACCAATTATTCCCTTTAAACCAGTTTAACGTAATGGCCAGTGATATGATTGCGTTGAACAGATCATTGCCTGACATTCGGCCGAGAGGGTGAGTATATTTGTAGCAATAGAAACACATTAAGCGTGATGTATCAACGATTAAAGCGCCACGATCGTCGATCCGCGTCGTGATCAATGCGGGTTTCATGCGACATATACAACGCATGTAAAAAAAACATTATTTACAATATTAGAACGCGCGCTGTGTGGCGATCGCGTCGTTTGCGTAGCTTAGGGTTAGTATATAGTACAATTTATATTAATACATGTACCCTTTACTAAACCTAGACTTCGCAAACATTTATATGTTACGTCACAGGATATTCAACTTTTAGTTAATTAAACTTGAATTAAAACGCAATTCTATGTTGAATTGCATTGTAATTGGGTTTAATTAAACTCCAATTAAAGCGCAACCCTATATAGAGTCCCGTTTTAATTCAAACATAACGCAACTATATTAAAAGTTAATTAAACCATATAAAAAGTTAATCTAATGTCCAATCCAACAACGACGGTAAGACGTGTATATGTATGTATAATTCAACATGTGTGTTTGCGTTTCAGATGTCAAAATAGAGAGTACCCCGGCGTTTTACAGACGACGTCTGTGGTCATAGTATTCCATAACGAGGCTTGGACTACTTTGTTACGCACAGTACACAGTGTTATCAATCGCTCTCCAAGGCATTTACTAACAGAAATTATCTTGGTGGACGATTACAGCAATAGAGGTAAATAGGTCGTGATACATAGCATTTCTACGGCAGTGTTGTTTGGGTCCGTGGCCCAACTCTGTGACTACATGTATATTCAAAAAGTCACTTCAAATCGTGATTTCGAATTTTTAGTTATTTTCTCGAGGTTTGTCGAATAAAAGCGACAAAAATACACTTTCGACGGACAAGCCAGTACAACCACAATGTTCAAGGTATTTTGCGCAGTCGTGTTAAATTTTAATAAACTACGTTAGCATGATGTACTTTACGACTACGATCCCCTAAAACGAGGATCAGAGGTCATCAAAAACGAATGCATTTAAAAACATATCTAACAAACTAAATTTTGATCAAATAACTTTCAATTTTATTTATACCACATTCAATTTTTTGTTTCATTAAATGTTTTTTTTAAAGCTTTCCTTAAAACTGAACTTGATGAATACGTATCAAATATCACCACAGTACCTGTAATGGTTCATCATTGCCAACAACGAGAAGGACTGACACGAGCCCGTCTGATTGGTGCTGCCATGGCAACAGGGGAGGTCGTCACATTTCTAGATTCTCATTGTGAGTGTACACGTGGTTGGCTAGAACCGTTGTTAGCCAGGATAGCCGAGGATAAGTAAGCACTCGTCACAAATTATGTTTATAATCATCTTATGAATTATGTTTGTAAACCACGGTACTTTAAGAACCAAATTGATTTTTAGTTCATCGTGTGTATTATTTCTCATCCCTAAACAGAACCAATGTAGTGTGCCCTGTGATAAACATCATCAGCGACACGACATTCGAGTTCATCAACGGCTCCGATGCCACCCAAGTGGGAGGATTTGATTGGAGGCTCATATTTAATTGGCATGTGGTGCCACACAGAGAGCTTCAGCGAATCAAGTTCGATAGAACATCACCGGTCAGGTACGTTTGTTTCACATTCTGTGCCTGGAAGTTCAGTCTCGTTCACGTTATTCGCGAGATTTGTCTGATTGATTGACAGCTTGAAAGTAACACGTGATTACAACCTAGCGGTGCATATGCAAATTACTTTTATTTTTGGGTATATGTATTGGATACAGCCAACAAAATTTCGTCACGCACAATGAGATCAATTGCTCGTTGTTTCTCAAAATGCAGCAAATAAACGAACATTCTATTATAATCGCCATGATTGCCGATCATCAAGGTTTGCTATTAAAATTGATATATTATTTGCAGATCGCCGACAATGGCTGGAGGTTTATTTTCCATCCACAAAGAATTTTTTACAAGACTTGGCACATACGATCCAGGATTCGATGTCTGGGGGGCCGAAAATCTGGAACTGTCGTTTAAGGTAATCACATATTACATATATTTAAGACAAGTACAATCTATAACGCCGCTAGAAGTTGACCGCACGGGCAATGTCATATAGAATTGCGCCCTCTTCTTTTAATGACCCTTTTCTGTTATCCAGACATAGGGAATTTTACAAAGTAAAAACAAAAATTACACTTCCTACGAAATTGCAATATTTACGAGGCAGAAATTAGCAAAACCGTGCGAATCAGACAATGAGACAATATTTGTGCTTCTGGTGCATAACTGATATTTTCCAATCGGAAGGAAAAGTCAAAGGTGGTATTTTGGGTCTGTGTGTGTGCTCCAAAATAAATTACTATAAAATCGCAGTATTGTATTGTCAAAACATGTGCTCGATGGTTTGTTTTTCACCAAAGTTTTTGGGTTCATTTTGTAGTCATCTTTTATCTATTGAAACGGACTTTATCTTCAACGGCGTCTTTGTATAGCATATCCCAATTTGGCTGCCAGTTTATTATCAAATCATGTGTATACTTCATACTCTCACATTTCAGTTCAGAAGATGGACGAACATATTTCTTTTCAGAAATCCCTGGTTTCACATTTATCAACATTGCCATTTTTTTAGATTAACAGATTTGCAACCCATTACGAAGAGAAACATTCCAACTTTTCAAATTGCATCAATAATACCAAAAACAAGCAATAAAATACAAAGAAGTTGTACCCGTCGACAGAGGGCGCAATTAACTGTGTGTTTACGTGAAACGAGCAGTTCTTGAAACCTTGTAATAACGCCGTAATCACATATATACGGCTCGAATAAAACGCGTCCGAGCACTAACGTCAAATTTACGTTAAACCACACAGTTGTTTATATTTTGTTTTCTTCTTAGACGTGGATGTGTGGCGGCACCCTGGAATTTGTTCCATGTTCGCACGTTGGCCACGTGTTTCGAAAAAGATCGCCTCACCGTTTTCCACCAACGACACACAATGTCATGCAGCGTAACAACCGCCGATTAGCTGAGGTATGGCTGGACGAATACAAGTACCTGTATTACAACGCGCACCCAGAGATTTTGAAGACCGATCCGGGGGACATCTCTGAAAGACTCGCCCTTCGTGAACGGTTGCAGTGTAAAAGTTTTAAATGGTACCTGGAGAATGTCTACCCTGAAAATGTGTTTCCAATTCACTTTTATGGAGTGGTCACTGTAAGTTTCAAATTATTTCATGTTTAGTAGTGTGACGGCGAATTGTAAATTACGTTCCCTATCGGCACAGCGGCCTTGTTTTCGAAGCTGCCGGTTGAGGGCGTCACTCCTTCGTCGTTCCGGGTCTTCAGCATGAACTCCTAATTACGAGTATTGCATTTTTAGCAGATTGATAGAAATGACGCCCCTTTTTAACATAACCAATACGTCGCTTTTGACAAACCTTACTCAAACATTACAGGTCGTTATTTGTTGATTATTTTTTTTCCAGATAAAACACATAATTTCCGGCAATTGCCTAGACTACGGAAATCTAAAAATGAGAGGTAAACAACCGACAAAGGCTGGCAAAACAGACTCCGGACAAAAAGTGGAACTATGGAAGTGCCACGGTGGTCCCGTACAGGTGAGGTCGCCGTTTATTTTGCAGATAGTCGGGATTGTTTAAAATAAAAATGGAAATATTATTTATGCATTGATTCGCATCCGGTATTCGCATTCATTCATGGGAAATTCACGTCACAGTCATTTTCAAGGTAAAACCTCCACTCAAGTGTTCACGACAAATCATACCAGATACGGTGCTCACATGCGATATTGAAACGTCGAGATATGCATTGCTCGCATTAGTAGTCTATAACGCTCTCATTATTCATACTTGCAGACTTTTATCTACACGAAAGCAAAAGAAATTCGTCTGGAGAAAGAATGTTTAGATTATTCGGCTATAACGGGTTCGCTGACACTGTATCCATGTCATGGTCAAGGCGGAAACCAAGTTTGGGGATACAACAAAAAGGTATCAACTTTGATTGTGTATTCTTTGTAGGATAAACTCATTCAACACTACACTACACTACACTACACTACACTACACTACACTACACTACACTACACTACACTACACTACACTACACTACACTACACTACACTACACTACACTACACTACACTACAACGTAACAAAACTTGACGTAACACAAAATTCATTTTTGTGAGTGTACAATTCGTGAAATATTGAGGTTATTTTTTTCATCTCTTTTCCCCGTAAAGTGTCACGATCATTTTGTATAGAAGCGCGTAATGCCACGTGGATGATACGACCTTCATCACATAGGGTAATATATCTAAGTAACAACTGAATAAGTCAATAAATAACATGCATTTCATATTTCTATTTCAGACAGCAACTCTGATTCATGAAGGGACAGGACTGTGTCTAGCGCCGCCAATCGACCAAACCAAATTACCCTTGAGACCGGTCGCATTTCCATGTAGCACAGCGCCACGGTTACAGTGGTTGATGGAAGTCACCGGTAAAGGCAACATGGAATTACCAACGAGGTAACGAAGAGGGCCCTGAAGAGTACGCGTTCATACACACGGAATACAGCTTAAGTGGGAGAGTGCCCCCATACCCTAGGTGTCTCGAATCTCGAACGTGTCATCAACAGCAAAACAAAACCATGTACGTGTTACTGGTTCAGAACTCCCACTTCCCGCTGTACTGACATCATATCTGTTGATGATAAAATGAAAAGTGACCCTTGTACAGTCATTATTCACCAAGACCGAACTTGTTTTGCATGCATTGACGTGATGAGTGACACACGTGACTTTGAACGTCATTATAAATCAAAGTATGATCATCACATTATTCTTTATTTCTTTAGTAATTATTACTTTTTTGTTTTTATAATAAAATACCTAACATTGCGAAGAGTATTGTCATAATTTATACATTGTCGTTATTATTATACCAAAAATGGAAAGCTACCACGAAAATTCTATCTCCTCCTGCAGGAGTTCCTGGAATATTATTAATTGTATGTCACGTGATCTGACTCGTGTGTCCAACCATGTTTATACCTCTATGGCCAAACGTTACTTACCACACGAAGTAGTATCCCCTCAACGGCCGAAAAGCGAGTATATGTCATGTTTGCCATACTTGTGGGTTCATACTGCCAGGATATCAGAAGTGAAAGAAAACGAGTTTTCGAGATACAGGAGTCCAAAATATTTAATGTCCGTATTTCCTCATTTCGAATATTTCTAAATGAAAGAATAGCAAAATGCTGCCATTTCGTCGTATATCTAGGTGCGAGTCAGGTAGAATATTAGTAAACGACGACGACCTGCTAACAGAATGTGGCTTTCCCTGAATTAAGTAATTAAAATTACTTCTTTTTTAATAAGGGAATTGTAGTTATACACAATAGTTTCATAACTTTGTACCTCATTGGTGGAGTGGATATACTAGTATTCCACTTTCGACAAAATGGATATTAAAATTTGGCAAAATGTATCTCATTATTTCAGAAATATCACATGCACAAATCACGATAATGCTCATATCAATCAGACCATTCCTCCGCGGAAAAGATTTGTGATCACGCACCGTAAGAAAATATCCTTTTTACAGGTTTCACCGAGATTCAGTAAAAAAAAAAAACGCCACGTTGAAATTGGCAACTCATTAAAAAAAACCATGATACTTTCTTTTAGATAAACATATACTAGGATACTACAACTGTTATCAACATTTCTAATACTGTAACACAATCTTGGGTTACAACGTGTATGACCGATATAGAGTACGTGCTCAGATTCACGGGCCGTGCGCGTACAATGAACCTAGACTAACTCCACGAGTTTATGACTTAATTCAATCCGAAACAAAAATCTGTCATGCTAAAATTCTTTCCTGACAGTGTTTTCACCTGGGGTGTTTCCGAGGACATAGCTCACATGACATGCAAGCTACGTGTACGCACATGTAGGGACGTATTACAGCGTTAAGAAATAACGAATGGTTACTAGTTACTATCGGATATTACTCACATGCGATGTTTAATCGCAGGGTGTTCATGGCCCATAGGCGCCAGCAACACGTTACAGATTGTATGAAATATTTATATTTAATTTAAAGACAGAATATGTGAAACAAAAAAAAATGCATCGTGAAAAAATAGAAGAGTGGGTAGTCAAGCATAGTATTATAAATCATATATTATGAATTAATTTTTTAAATACTGTGCGCAGTACTGCCTTGCGCTATATGCTACAGTGAAATATACATAGGCGTGTATGTTTTCAATTATTTAGAATTCTATAAATATTTATAAAGACAACCTGGTAATTACGACGCTCGTGCATGCTTCGTTGAATGGAGGTAGGCGCCTTTTCACATTTCGTATTTGAACGAGACTAACGTCAAATGAAAAATCTTAAGTGTGTTTGTGAATAATTATTATTATATCTACAGCGCGTGACTTGGACGTGGGAAGATGTCTATAAATGGTAATGTATGCACCGTTAGTATAAGTCGCGCCCTACGGTGACGAAGCGCTTTTATGACGCAAATTGACGTAAAGAACGCCTTTCACATCCGGGCATTCACTGCGTCGATATTGTTCTTGATCTGGCGTCCGTCAATAAATAATACTGTATTGTTAGAGATGTGGTGTACAATTTCTATGGGTTCTTAGAAAGCCCGGGGTGGCCAATACGTCTAAGCTAGTTCCGATGGACGTGCTCGTTTAAGTTCGTATCTTTCTAATATCTAATTGATAATGCGATGGAAAAATAATGAGATGGTTATCAACGACTGGGTTGTGCCTACTGATAGATACACGTGCCCATGTGACGTCATACTTGTTGGTTGATTCCGTATTGCTGGTCGTAGCCGTAAAGATTTGATATCGAATTAACCTTACCAATCGGGCCTTAATTGTTGGCATGACAACCTCAGGTTACTCGTAATTATCATGTCATTGTTATGCGTTTTTTATATTGATAGTCATCAGTCGATAGGTGTAAAATTATTGTCAAAATATCGCGAGACAGACTAGTTACGATATGGATACTTTAGTATTTATATTCGGCATTGTATATCGCTACATCACCAGGCTGATCTGTTCCCATTAAGAAATATTGTTTTCTTCCCTGTGCATGTCTTTTTAGTTTACGATACACACATATGTCAAACAAAACAGGCCAATTCTTGAAAGATTCAGAAGCCGCTAGTATACTCGCTACTGCTGTTTCGTCACTAAATCACATACATCCGGAATGACATTTTATTTTCCGCCGGGTTTTCTGTCTTATACTTATATGATGGAGATCGGGAAAGATCTATATCCCTGTGTTGTGACAACTCCGGAGCACTTATATGTCGTAAACTAGACATTGTTGAAATGTTGCTTGACAAATATTAATGACTTTTTTTGCTTAAACCTTTAATAATTGAAACCCAAAATTAGTGATAAATATATGGGGAATTGAGTTCGACTTGTGTTTTTACACCACCACACATTCCTTTGTAGGTAATGGAGTTCAGCCGAAGGGTTTCGATCGTATAAAGTCCGACAGACTCAGAGCTAATTTGAATCGTAAATATTAATCCATTTTAAAGATATTTTCAACTGTCAACATTGCCTAGTCGAGTATAGTTCGGGATCAATTCTGAGAACTACTTGATATGTATATAAGCGCAATCAATACGAGGATGGGTGAAATAAATTAGAGTAGATGAGAAGAGGTAGTCCGCTCAAGATAAGAAAATTATCGATTTACTGGGTTGACAGCTAGCGTTATCTATGTGGACGGTGTGGGGGTATTGCCAAGAACGCCGCCAATATTTGCTACTAATAAAGTCATGTGATAACGAAATGACACGTAAAGCAGAAAAAAAAACATACTAATGTACAGTCTGATATCATTACAGGGAGATGCCATTGGCGGGAAGGGGTCCGAGGCTACCAAAGTTATTTTGCGGTTCATGAAGGTTTGTTTTTTAATATATAAAACATCAATTGTCATATTCTGCGCTTGAATGTGCTAAAAAAATTGAAGTGACGTGGCGTACGGTAGTAATCTCTGGAATGAAACGATCTGGAGTTCGGTTTTCCGGAAAATAATATATGGATATACCCGTATACAATCTGTTGATTAATAAATTAAATTAACACAATTTCAAGTTGCATGACTATTACGGCAATAAAACATAATATTTTTCCAATATCGGTCCTTACAATGCACACAGGACCAATTTAGACAAGGGCTATGAATCACTGAGTGGTTTGTACTTTGTTTGTCCTCACTCTTGACTGACTTGGCTTCGTGGGATCACTCATCGACACAATAAACACAGTGTTCTAGCTTCAATGACTGTATCCACGTATATTGCATGTGTAAACAAGTCCATGCGTACTTTGCTTTGAACCACATACGCAGAGGAACTGTGTTTGAACTCTAGTTCATTCATTGTTCTCTTCGTCGGAGTTATAATTTTATTACGTCGAACGAGAAAACAGATAGCATTTCCCCCATTTAATATTAACTGAATCTGATTAAATTTTAATAATGTTTTTTTTCTCCTACAATTGTGTAAGAACATGAACTCCATTTATATGGCCTAAAAAGCAAGATATATATATAACGCCATGGAAACCTGTAATGGTAACACAGTGCTAGGCACAATTCGGATGTATGTAACATGTTTAATTGGGTCACGTCATGTTCGAGGACAGTGACATGCAGTTACCTCGAACGATTTGTAATGCCTTTGAAGGTCACTGCAAAGTAAAACACGTAAATCCACACTAGTCTTTTACAGCAAATGTTTTAACACTATGCGAGTACAAGGTATGGCATACAAACTAACAACTCGAACTTCCGAGAAGTTAGACGTATGGATACTTCATTTAAAAATTCGTTCATTATTTTAGTTTCGAAACACCGATATTTTTGGTGGAAAGTAAATGTACATCTGAAATTCGGTTTAATTTCTAAAGTAGGACATATAAAATGAATATTTTAAAGAAATACAATTGTCGACACTATTAAAGCAGACGAAATCAAAACAGTATGGTTTTCGAACCTCTGCCCACGTGCCGGAAAATGGTATCATTTCAGTTTCGGTTGCATTTATCTGCACGGACAGTTCCCGAGAGTTTCTACGTGGATTCAAATAATCTATGACTGCAAAACGCAAATAAATAGTTTTTTTTTTAAATTCATGCTGTATAAGATAATTTACTTGGGTAGAAAAGTTGCCAATGGAATGATGGGAAACAACTATTTCATTGCCCTTTGAACTTTGAACTGCACTTTCTGAGTCAATCGCCCGGATGTCGATTACTGTGAGAAAAAATAGTTGTTTTTTGTGGCTACATTAATGCCCCCAAATGCGGGTCTGGGCTGAGTTTGTTATTTTTATCTGCACATTTTTAAACTGGATGATAAATCTGCGTATTCGTTTGGCGCAGTGAAAACATTTCACACAAGAATTTGACCGATAAACCACTGACTACGACGAGGCTGGGTCTGAATTGCGAGAAATCGTCTGAACGACGCGAGAGTAGGTAGGTCATTGTGGAGTTGTTTATATTTTGGATTTTATTGTACCGTTCTTCTGTGATCTCGATAAAAACTGTGACGGAGTATAGTTTTGATATGTCACATATAATAATGTAATTGTCGTATTTTATTGAGGTAAATATCCCACCAATAGTGTTTCTGTTGTAACACATTACTGGGATGTCGAGTCACTGTGGTGGTTCGGATATTGACAGTCTGCCACTCGCAGTAAATAGTAAACCTAAACGAGTGTTATCACGAAGTATTTACGAAATTTGCCATAGGCCTTCACCGCAAAAAACAATATACACAACAGCTGACATAATTTGTGAAAAATGCCAATGACGAAATACAATTGAGTTTGGTCACACTACCAGTTGACTTGACTGTGTCCATCATTATTTTGACGATACCCAGGCACTGTATAATAAAAAACACTATGTGGTGTAATGAAAACCAGTTTCGTCGCGAAGTAAGATCTCCAAAACATCTGAACTTGCGCTTGATAATCGTTTAATAGCAAGTGTGGCCTTCCGCCAAGGATAAAAATGTTTCAGCCATGACTGTGTACTGCATTGTTTATTTTCTAGGTAATCCTAAACTTGTTTAGCTACTTGGGAAATGGGGGAAGAAAATAATTTGAAAATTGTGATATTTGTCAGATTTGGGTAACAAATTGAAATGTGCTGCACTAACTTAGACTTTCAATTATGCAATATATTTTTCTGATGTTTAACTCGCCTTTCTGTGCATGATGACGTGTGTGGTCATATTCTCGAAATAGTATTACCCCTGGTACTTCCTTTGAAAAATGATTTTCTTTGAAATTTCTCTTAGCGTGCGATAAATTGTTGTAGCCAAGTCTAAGTTATTTGTCATTAGTTGATTGGCAAAAGGTTAGTGGTACACGAGTACTTGACATATATTACGAGTGTAACAAAATAACCAAGCCTGAAAAACATTATAATTGAATTAATAACAAAAATTACATTGTCCTTGTAATTTTGTGTACATACACTGCCAGATTATTTAAAAAACAGTTATATAATCATAATAACACATATGGGTTAACTTGTCTGTCCGATGTAAGTCGCGTCGTTGTTAAATGATTTGTTTACACTGATGTTATATTATTTCAAATTAAGTTCCGTGGGAATATTTTGTTTCATAATAAATTTTTCTGTTTCCCCTGTATTTTGTTGAGCTCAGCCAGTGAGAGAATATTTGAAAAGTTTAGTGACTTCGCATTTCATCATGCCTAAATACAATAATGGCATATAAAAAAGGGACCAAATAGGGGAGTAAGTCTTTATTTTTGCTAATTGTCTATGGTTAGTTGAATGAGCTAATACAGAAGTTGTTGTATACTAGGATGATGCCATTTTACTCCTGTAGTGTATAATAGGTAGAACTTCCTCATGATGTCACTAATCTCACTATGCTTCTATTCATATAAGAGATGATAGAAACCATGGGAGTAACAAAGGTCAACTTCTGGGCATTAAGGGTTGTAATAAAATAATGTATAAATATTCGTTTTCTAATTGATTTTCTAGACACTTCACCATGGGCGTCATTCACAAAAATATTTGTTCACAATTTTATTAGTCCCCGTTCGGACGTAGTCCGAAAACGGGGACTTATGTTTTGCCCTGTGTGTGTCCGTGCGTGCGTCCGTGATCACCTGTATCTCGAACATGCATGGACCGATTAAGTTCAAACTTCACTCATACATCACACATTATATGGGACATATGCACATGCATTTTTTTCATGATCTGATTAACGATAGCCGAATAGCGGCCATTTTAAGGCCGAAAATGCTAATGTTACTCAAATATGAACGGAACGGGGACGTGTCATTGACAATGACTTGTAGACTTTATAATTGGCTTCACCAATTTTAACAAAGCCGAAGTAATTCTGAATTAAAGCCGCAAGCGAAATCAGCTTGGCCCAAGCTATCGGAGATCTATTTCATGATTAATGAGGTCTGTACCATGAGGTTGAAATGCAGTTGGTTCTATGTATTTACTTGGTTTAGTTATCGAGATATGGTTTTCAGAATATATAATGAGGTTACATGATCATATAAATCTCTTGCAGTTACCTCTTTCCTTTGATGCCTTCATTATGGTACTGGTTGCATGGCTCAGTCTGAAACATTGTTTCAGATATGACAGTTATGCATGTTAATGAGTTCACATGACCATGTATGTTCATCTGTTATTGTGATCAATTCTCTTGTTTAAAGATGTCATAATAATACAGGATTCATCTTCCTAACTGCAACAGTATTTGAGAAATATCGGTTATGCATATTAATTAGAATAGAAGCCCCCCATCCAATGGGTGCCAAACCACATAATCTAAAAGAATGTACCTCAAAAGTAGAATGCACATACACAATTTGAGCCCAATCGGACCAATACAACACATGTAATTGCACAATTTATGTTTTCTCGAAATCCAAGATGGCAGCCAAACCACATGACTGATTAAACTTGCTAGTATAAAAATTTGTTTCCATCAAGCTATGGCTATTCATTCGTATACAAAATATCCAGTTGATTGGTTGACGCACCTTTGAGAAACAAATGCCTAAACTTTTGGTCATTTTTACATGTAATCCAAGATGGCGACCAAACCATGTGACTGATCTGAATTCTTTGTTAAATGTCTGAAAGTGTTCAATACAGAGATGCAACATAGCAAATTTTAAGTAATCACTTAATTGTGGCATAAGTAAAAAAACTACCAGTACTTCCTGTTTGGAAGAAATCCAAAATGGCAATCAAACCATGTGACTATTCAAAATTTTAAAGTGTTTACTGTTGCTTGGAGACAAAACATGACGGAATTAGTCACATGACTGCTAAACTTTTTATTGCTTATATCTATTACACATGAGTTGTACTAAAAAATCTGATTGCCGAGACCATCAGAAAATGGTCAAATAGCCACTTTCAGTTCAAATTCAATCCAATATGGCTGCCGAACCAATTGACCAATCAAAATTCTGAAAGTCTAATGCATCAAATCACATTAGGTACTATAAGTATTGAGAATTTTAGGTGAAATAACTTGACGAAAAAAGTTACGGAAGTGAGAAAGGAAGAAAAAACGAAAAAAACAACAGACAACAATAATAGGAGCCAAGCCTTTTAGTCTTGGGCCCCTCACATCACACAATTGAAAGTACTGTAGAATACTTTATTTTCGCTTAGAATTTATTTTTGCTATTTTCGCTGAAGGGATGTTTCCGTGAAAATAAAATCCAGCTAATATACTTTTTTTCCTATATTTCACATTCAACTCATCAAAATCAGTGAAAATAAATTCCATACAGAATGCCCAAAAAGCCTTTTCAGCGAGAATTAATTCCATTGAAAATAAAGTATTCCACAGTACTACAAATGGATAACATGTTTATTAAACACTCACCACTTCTTTTTGAAGTTG